AGGTAAGTGTTGATGGCTGAAAGCTGCCTGCTTAACTTGAGGTTTACTGGCTAGATTTTTCTCTCAAAGACCAAGCCTTAAAACCAATTCACTCCAGACCTCATAGATTGGACAACAATAGGTCCCTGCCCAAGCACCACTTAATGTTTTTTTTTTTTTTGAGTACTCCTGGCTCAGAGAGAATGTAAATACTAACTATTTCTCTTTTGGCCAGCAACCCTGAGAGTCTTCCCCTCCCAGTTTGACTTTTTTTTTTTTATTAAAGGAGCCATCCCTTGAATCACTTCTTAAAGAGGCCTATACACTGAATGAGTGTTGCCTCACTCAAAGTAAGAGCCTGAAAAGAACTTAGCTTAAAAGGACCAGGATCTCCCAATGCGTCTTGAGCTATTACCAATTGTCTTGATGAATATCTGACCACTGGACCCAGACGGCTCTGGAGAAGAAAGTGAGGCTGGTGACCTTGCACAGCCCTCCCTCACTCAAAACAAAATCAATTGCAAGTCATGTCACCATCTCCCTGATGTCATGGTCCTCTTCGAGAACAAAGGATAAACACAACAACATAAGCATCCTCTAAATTCTCCATCCTGAAGCAAAACCTCAGTTGTCCTAGCCTGGTTATGGCATCAAGAATGGGGAATTCATTGTGTGATGAAGGGAAAGAGTACTGTTATAGAATAGGGCCTCCAACTTATGGTTGGCATGAGGGATAGAGGAGATGGTACAAAGGAAGGGGCTTCTACCTGTGTAATATGTTTCCAATGTCCTAGAAAAGAGAGAAAAGAAAAAGGTAACTCAATATCTATGGTGAGAAACAGAGACCCCACCCTTCCACCAACACCTCTCTACCTCATGTACCCACTGTGCTATTTCTGAAGTGTGATAGAATGGTATCTCTTGTCTATACTTGGTGAGAGAAAACAGCTGACATCAGTTAATAAGCATTTATTATGTGTTTGCTATGTGCCAGGCATTGTATTAAGTGCTGGGGGTATAAAGAAAGACAAAACTAGTTCCTACCCTCAAGGAACTCACACTCTAACGGGTGAGACAACATATAGATACATACTATATATTATACATGCAGAGGGGAAGGCACTAGCAGCTGGGGAATTTGGAAGTGCTTCTTGCAGAGAGTGAGATTAAGCTGAGACTTGAAGGAAGACCAGACAAGTAACAGGCAAGGCAGCAGAGCACCCAGAAAGCAAGAAGGCCACTGTGGCTGCATCATGGAGGAAACGGAGGGCCATAAAGTACAAGAAGACGATAAAGGTAGGAAAGGGCTAGGTTGTGAAGTCTACAGAGGCCGAACGGAGAGCTTTATGTTGGTTCCCGAAGGTAATAGGGAGTCACTGGAGTTTATTGAGTAGGGGGTGACACGGTCAGACCTGTACTTTAGGAAAATTATTTTGGCAGTTGAGTGGAGAATGAACTCTAGTTCAAAGTGTCTTGAGACAGGGTGAATGGTTGCTATAATGTTCTATTGCAAGAGTGCAGGAGAGAAGCATGAGGTAATATAGTAGTGGGTCAGTGGCCGTGTGCTATGTCTGAAATATGCTATGCAGGGAGAAATGGTAGGATTTGGTGATATACGGGATATGTGGGGTGAGTGGGATTGAGGAGTCGAGGATGATGCCAAGGTTGTGAGTCTGAGGGTCTGGGAAAGTGGCGATACCCTTGACAGGAAGTGGTAAGTTGGAAAAAAGCAAAGGGGAAGACACTGTGTTCTGTTTGGACATGCTGAGTGTGAGAGAGTGATGTTTGGGCACAAGGACAAAGCAGGGGTAGCCTACCTTTAAAGCCTCTTGGGAATGGGGAGGAAGAAGTCAAAGGGGCCTGAATCTGGGATGCCATTCTGTCCCATACCTTGGTATAGGGGCCAGGGAAAGGAGTAGTTCCTTCCCTCACTAACTCTCTATAGGGCCCAAATGGGCCCTTCTATTTCCTTTTGGGGTGGGGGGAGGGTGAGAGGAAACAAATCCCAATGTCTCTCTTCCAGATAGAATCAGGCCTTGGGACAGACCAGGGTGGGGAACCTGCAGCCTTGAGGCCACATGTGGCCTTCTAGGTCCTTGGGTGTGACCTTTTGACTGAGTTCAAGTTTTACAAAACAAATCCCTTTATTAAGGAGATTTGTTCTGTGAAGTGTGGATTCAGTCAGAGGGCCACACTTAAGGATCTAGAGGGCCACACGTGGCCTTGAGGTCACAAGTTCCCCACTCCTGCGACAGACGGTGCCGCCTCCTCAACCCTAGAAGGTGGATCCAGGGATTCAGCTGGAAGCAACATGGTGTGGGAACACAGAATACCCATTAAACAACTGAGTAAGGACCTTGGTATTAAAGAAGTCTTGCGAGTATAGGAGAGACATGTCAAATGGAGTACAGGAGTTGTCTGTGCTAGAACATAGAACCCAGGAAGCCAAACTGTAAAACAAGGGTTCTTAATTATTTTTTGTTCGTTCCTTTGGTTCCATACAAAAAGATAACGTACACTGGATCTATCTGGGCCAAGTTTGGACGTGGTGTCCAGGAGGTGGCATGGCATAAGGGAGGTTGCATGATGAAATACTTGAAAATAGACATCAGGGGAGCAATATGGAAGATGCAAGGTGCCTGGTCTGCAGAACAGATGTAGAGCTCAGAGCTGATGGAATAAGCCAAGACAGAGAGATCAATGGGAGAAAGAATGAAACCAACATTCAAAATTCTTGAAGGGGGAGAGCTGCCTCTGTGGAAGATCGTAGAGAGAATATGGTAGGAGATAGGAGACCCTCAGGACATAGATATGAAGGTACTGGCTGAATGGATGAGTGATACCTTTGAGGGAAACACCATTGTTTAACAAAACTCAGATTAATGAAGTAGGACCAAAGGAACAAAAACCTTCCTTCTCTGGGGCAAATAGGGCATGGATGAAAAATTAAGTAAAATCCCTGAAGGGCCTCTGTTTGTTTAATCTTGATCTATCTCCTTCCTTAGTGACTTGGGGCTTCTAAGGTCAGTCTTCTTCACTCTTCTAGGAGAGGTCTTTCCTGACCCCATCCCCAGCCCCCTTCATAGCACCATAGATTTAGAGCTAAAAGAATACCATCAAGTCCAACCTTCTCATTTTACAAATGAGGAAACCGAGGCACAGAGAGGTTACAAGTCTTGCCAAGAGTCATACAGCTAGTAAGCACTCTAGATGGAATCTGAATGCTGACTCTCTTGTTGGCAACTTTCTCCCACCTGAAATCATTTGTATTAACTTAACCGTACACATCTTGTAACCCTCCCAGGAGAAAGTAAGCTCTATGGGTTTTATGTATCTTTTTACTTTGTGGTCTGACACAGTGCCCTGTGTGTAGAAGACATTTGATAAATCTTGTTGAGATAAATCAAGTTGACTGAAAAATGGGAGTTGATGGACTAACCTCAGTTGTATGTAGTCTGCATCTGAAATTCCTCTCTCATAGCGAAGGTTAAATGTGCACTAAAAGTGCACATAAGTGATGGAAAAATAATGATGGACAAAAGGAGGGAAAAGGAAGAGGGAACAGGAGGCCCAGAGAGCCTTTTATTCCTGCTTCTTTCCCCACTCGGAGCTTTCTCCTTTCATGCTAGATCTAGAGTCTCTTTCCCTGCACTGAGCCATGCTTCCAAAGGCCTCCCCACCAGAGCCTTGCAAGTCTCCTTCTCTCCCCTCACCTCTGGCAGCTCCAGTACTTGACGTTGGTGCTGCTCTTCCAGTTCAGCCATGAGGTTACTGAGGTGTGACACCTTGTTGGAAAGCTGGGTGGTGAATTGTTCCTTCCAATGGGCAATGTCCCTGTTGAGCTCTTCCATCTGGAGCAACAGGGATTTCTCCTGGTCTTTCAGAAACTCTTTCATTTTGCTGAAGTTGCTTTCCACCTCTTGCATCTCCACACTGACTAGGTCCTGGGGGGAAGGAGAAGAGAAGAGCAGACTCCCCCAAATCAAGAATCCTTTCTAGGACCCTTAAGGACTGCCCTGCCTAGATTCTGGGGATTATTCTGAGGCATGAAGGGTCCCAATATTGAATTATTAAATTAGATTAAAAGAATCTCTGGGAAAGGGAGGAAGGAATAAAGCCAGCCCCCAAACACCTTCCAACAAGGACAGCCACCATAAGCCCCAAGGCAGACCAGATTGATTCAGCTCTAGAAGACAAGGACTTAGAGCCAAAGCCATGTAGCAGAGTTTTGCTGCCAGGACCCTGGACACATGCCCTCTGATATGTGTATGTATATGCATGGGCATTTGTACATATGTGTACAATAATGGGGGTTTTTTTTCTATCTCTCCAAGACTCCACCTTCAGCAAGCAACTCTAATATTTGCTGAAAATCAAAGACTACAGTTTCCTCACTCAAATCAATTAAATCCAAGGCAGTGCTAGTCCTCTGTAGAATTAAAAGTTGGATTCAGTACCTTCTAAGGTCCCTCTGAATAGGCTTCTATGAGTCTAAGTGAGGAGAGCAGTGGAACAATTTGGGGTATCCAGAACATAAATTTAAACTGATCACTTTCTTTTGAGTTTATAAAAGCAACTCTGCCTTGTCCACAGTCAGCGAAAGGAATAGGACAATGAAAGATTGCTGCCCGCTTTGTCCTGCAGAACTTGAAAAGAGGAAAGGTGGTAAGGGCCTGGGAGAAGAATGTTAAAGGGTCCACTTGTTCCTTCTCTTCCTCAGCTACCCCAGAGTTTCCTTCTCTCCCAGACCAATATGCAGATATCAGGTTGTCCACCTACCAGCATCCCCTGGATCTCCTGTTCCCCATTCAGCTTTGTCTCTAGGGCCTCTTCCTTTTCTGTCTTCAGGAATGCCAGACGAGTTGACAGTTTATCCTAAGGAATGCACTTGAGTTAATCTGACAGCTTTGTTTCTCCTGCAGTACACAGTCTGGACTCCAGATAAACTCTGTAGCCTTAGTAATTCCCTGAGACAGGGGCACTAGGCCAAGGTGGTTAGCCCACAAAGTCTTCCTAGAAAAAAGACTGGAACCTATGGGAGACTTGACAAGCTGACCTGAATGTAATGAAACCAAGTAAGGTCCTAGAAATAAGGAAGTAAATCAGAAGAAGGAAAGAAAGGAAGGAAGGGAGGAAGGGAAGAATGGAGGAAGGGAGGAAGGTGGATAGATGGATGGATAGATGGATGGATGAAATATGTGTGTGTGTGTGTGTGTGTGTGTGTGTGTGTGTGTGTATACACACACACATATGTTGTTTTGTTGAGTTTTTAAGTCATGTATGACTCTCCATGACCCCATTTGGGGCTTTCTTGGCAAAAATCCTGGAGTGGTTTGCCATTTCCTTTCATTTTAAAGATGAGGAACTAAGGCAAACAGGGTCTTGTCCAGGGTCACATAGCTAGCAAGAATCCTATTTGAACTCAGTTCCTCCCGACTCCAGGAGGAGTCTCTATCCACTATGATACCTAGCTGCCCCGCCACACACACACACACACACACACACACACACACACATATATATACACACATACACACATACACTCATTCATGTGTATGCATACACATATGTATGTACAGGTTTTTTCCCCATTATTCAAAGACTATTTCTGTCCAAGAGATTAGACATTTTTCCTCTTGAGACCATGTCCTTTCTGTGCCACATTCCACTCAGACCTTCTACCATAGTCTATCCTCTGTACTGCTGTTCTGTTCTCATTTCCCACTGTCTTCTCATCTCTACTCTAGTCAATCTCCCAGCCTGATTAAGCAGGAAGTGCCTTCCACTTGGAGTCACAAGAATTGAGTTGGAACTCTGAGTGGCCAATTAAACCAACTTCACTACAGAGTGTGAAGAGATCACTATATACACTGTGTGCAGGAAGTAATTTCTAGATCCACAGTTTACACACTGAATCCAGCTTGACTTGTCTTAACATAATGATCACGCTCTTCCAGTCTTCTCCACATTTCAAGTCAAGAAGCATTTATTAAATGCTTACTGTATGGCCTGGCATACAGTGCTAGGCACTGGGAGTACAAAAACAAGCAGAAAGCAAGGCAGTCCTGCTTTCAAGGATTTGACATTCTAATTAAAAAAGACAACACATAAAAGAAAGCTGCAGAGTTGGAGGGGAGAGAAGATAAAGGTACTAGCTGACAGGGCATGGTAGCAAATGTCCTGAGAGTCATCAGGAAAGCAGCCCAGAGAGGAGATTTAAGGTCTCATTTTATGCAGAAAGAGCTAAGGCTCCAGAAGAAGTTAAGTGATTAGCCAAGGTAAGTTGGTGGCAAATGCCCTCTGACTTCTCTGTTTCCAGATTCACTACTGACTCCATTGTACTGAATTGTCACTTTGGTTCAATACATTCTATTGGGTATGGCGTTGTCACTGAACCTCACCGGTGCCAGGCAACTCTCTGAGATGCTAGTTATAGACCCTTTACCCATCATCTTGCCGCATCTGTGCATCAGTGGAAGGACTGTTCATACAAGGAGTTTTGTTCACAGATCTAAGCAACAACATGTTCTTAGCCTAAAGAGGAGCAGGGGTTATAATGAGGAGGAGGAGGAGGAGGAAAAAGTGCATACATAGATAGCACTTTAAGATTTGCAAAGATGGATAGAGCACCGGCCCTGAAGTCAGGAGGACCTGAGTTCAAATCCGGCCTCAAACCAAACAACTTGACACTTACTAGCTGTGTGACCCTGGGCAAGTCACTTAACCCCAATTGCCTAAAAATAAAACGAAAAACAAAAAGAAAAAGATTTCCAAAGGACTCTACCTAGGTTACTTCATTTGATCCTATAGTAACCCTAGGGAGTAGGTGCTATTATCCCCCTCTTACAAATGAGGAAACTGAGGCCAACAGAGGTTGCAACAGACTTGCTAAAGGTTACATAGCTAGTAACTGTCTGAGGCAGAATTTGAATTCAATTCTTCCTAAGTCCAAATCCAGTGCTCTAACCATTACACCACCTATCTGCACAATCATATGCCTTTTAGGGGGAAAGGAGAAAGAGAACAAATATTTATTAAGCACCTGCTATGTTCTAATCACTGTGCTAAATGCTTTACAAACATTATCTCATTATCTCACAACAACCCTGTGAAATTTGTTGTTCAGTGTTTTTCAGCTGTGTCCGACTCTCTATGACACCATTTGGGATTTTCTTGGCAAAAATACTGGAGAGCTTTACCATTTCTTTCTCCAGTTCATTTTACAGATGAGGAAACTGAGGCAAATAGGGTTAAGTGATTTGCCCAGGGTCACACAGCTAGTAAGTATCCAAAGCCACATTTGAACTCAAGAAGTTAAGACTTCTTGACTCCACACCCAGCGCTCTTATCCACTGCACCCATAGCTGCCCTACACAAAACTGAGAAAATGCAAATGCTACCCCCCCATCCTGACCTCCGCCTTTAAGAGTACAAAAACATGAAGACATCTGATGAGTAAAATCATTTTTCATCAGCCAAAACACAATGCAGAACACACACACTCTTCTGAACGTAAGAAAGTCTCAAGGTAAAATATGAAGGAGATTGAGGGGTTGGTTGCATGGAAGGGCCAAAAACTAACTAATCAAAGGAATGTGTGGCCAGCCACAAAAGTGGTGTCAGGATCTATAACATAGTCTTGTCCATTTCCAAGGAAGAGTCGCGATTACTCCCTGTACGTTTAATTTCTCTCAAAAACAAAAAAAACAAAAGCCATCTTGGGAGAATAGGTGCTATTATTATCCCCATTTTACAGATGAGGAAACTGAGGTAGAGAGAGGTTAAGAACCTTGCCAAGATCACCCAGCTAGTAAGTGTTTAAGGCTGGATTTGAGCTCAGGTTTTCCTGATTCCAGGGCTAGCATTCTGTCCACTGTGCTCCCTAGCTGCCTCTAAATTTTAATTTTGACATTCGATATAAATTGGAGAGAGAATGTACTTTACTGAATATTTCAGAAACTTAGCTGTTGGGATAAAGATCCTAACAAGCCCCAAGACTCACTAAGGAAGCTGACCCTCTCCATAGTTGCCCACCTGTCCTCCCTGTGCTCCTAGGGGTTCATGTTACAGGGCACTCCAACCTCCATGCCCCATGTCACCTCCCTTTCCAGTTTTTCTTTATATGTTGTCTTCCCTCATTAGAATATAAGATCCTTGAGAGGAGAGATTATCTTGTTCACTTGTATTTATATCTCAAGCCTCAGCACAGTGCCTGGCATATACTGAGTACTTAATAAATGTTCTCTCTACCCATCTATCCCTCTATCCATCCATCCACCCAAGCACATGACTGACCAAAGAAGTCTCTCTGGTGACTGACATTATACTTACTAGGCAATCCTGGACAGTTTCATCAATGGGCAACAGGTGATGAGTGGCATGGACTCGGATGGCATGACACACCATGCAAATAGGCTTCTGATCCTCCTGACAAAGCAGCTTCAGGGCCTCTCTGTGTTTGGCACATAGTTGAGCTGGGGAATCCATAACTATCTGAACTCAGAGCTGGCACAGCAGTGATTCCACCAAATTCTCAAGCTGGCATTTGGGTCATAGGTCTCTGCAGGAAGATCACGTGGCACTGGGGACAGAAAGTCCAACCTGCATTCACTCCAACACAGGACAATGCACCCCTGGCAGAAGCTATGTCCATGATCACTGGATCTGAAAAGTATTAGGCATAGGTAAAACACATGGCTTCCTCCTGCAAAGAGGCCACAGAAACCAATACGTGCCCAGCCCCTCCACAGACAGCCCCAGGGCCCTCCCCTGGATGGAGTTGGCCAGCCTACATGGAGTTTATACCACTAAACCCTGACCTCAGTGCAATCCAGGCTGTCGGGATCAAGAGCTGGGGGAGAGCTCTGGGGAAACTCATCCAGCTGTTGATTGGCTGACTCTTCCATGTGATTAAGTGAAAAAAATAAAGTCATGAACCCTGGCCCATAGAACATACGAGAAAAGAACAGTTGGTATATCAGCAAACAGGAAATACAAAACCACCAAGACCATTTCTGAAATTCCGCCTGAATCATATGCTTTTTTAAGCTCCATGATGCATTCAGATTTAATCAACTATCTTTTTTTATCCTTGGCTTCTCTTCTTGGTCCTCTCTGTCTCCTGAACGTGTAGCTCCCTGACATTCTAGTTCTGGGAATGTTCTCCAGGGAGTGCTCTGTCTTCAGCTCTTTGCCTGTGGCTTGTGACTAAGAAATTGAGAGAGAGCAAGCTAGCCAAGAAGGACAGGGAAAAGCGAAAGGAAGTAGTACAGTTATGGGATGTGTTGTAGTGATCTCTTTGGAGATCATCTAATCTACAGTCTTCATTTTACAGATGAAGAAATTGGCCCTAAGAGAGGGGAAGTGACTTGTCTGAGGTCACACTTAAAGTGCTGGAATGTCTGGGGTGAGAAGCATTAAGGGTAGAAGATGTTATGTTCTTCCCTGCTCCCTCAAAGTCTCTAGGATATCTGTCTCTGACTGAATCTTTTCCAGCTTGCTGCCTTCAGCCCAGGTTCTAGACAGGAAAGTTGAGACAAAAGATTTCCTCTAGAGAAAAATTGTGGGAGACCTTTCCACTGCCAAAAAGGAGCCCCTCTTCTTTCCAAATGACTCGGACCTCCCAGCAACCACCCATACCTGTCCAGGAACTGACACATCTGAATAAGGGACAACAGAAGTGAGAAGGATTTTTATTTCATAGACTGCATGCTTGATGTGAAGCGTTTTATTCTTAGAAAAAAGTACTTACTAGGGTTAGTTTGCTGTTGGAGAGACAGGGTGGCCTTTCGCCTCTTGTAAATCATAGAGTGGTGTTCCACCTCTCAAAAGGAGGGACACAGAGTCACTACTTCTACCACACAATTTGCCCATGGGTCAGTGCTAGAATTGCTGGAGAAAGGTAACTTCCTGAAGGAGGGGGCCTTAGATACACATGCCCTGTTTTGCTTAGGGAAAGCTCTACCTTTCTAACAAGCTAATACTCCAATCTGCAGGGTATACATTAACTTAAGTGAAACCCTTATTGATATAAAGAATGCCCTCTTCTTCTTTCTGCCCTAAACACCAGGAACTATTACTCCCTGCTGGGGATCCCCTCCCCACCTCCTTGATTTTCTCTCAGGCACTTAAGGTCCCAGGAGGGTCCAGAGGTTAAGACGTGAACATGGGTCATGCTGGGACAAAACGCACAGGATTTCTCTACTTGACACCACTACACCCAACCCCCCTCTCCCTAAAAACTTTGGAAATCAAGTACTCAAGAATGGAGTATGGCACACTCTAGGGAAGATACGAAGATAAGGAAGTTGTAGCTTCCCCAAAGGCCGAGGTCTGAGAGCCCTCAGCCCTAACTCTAAAGTCAAACTACCAATTTCTAATAAACAAGGGCTAACGGTTTTCTAACCAAAACAGTTTCGAGAGGAGATACATTCATCCAGCAGAGGGCAGCAGACAGTCACTAGCAGGAAGGACTTGGAAGTGATTCCATTTCCCTCCAACATTTGGTGAATGTTTTCCCCCTTAAATCATCGGATTTTCTTGCTGTGCCTAAGAAAGCTGAATGATGATACAGGGAAGAAGAGCCAAGGAGACATGAGCTATAGACTTGGAGATGAGACAGTGAGCATCAACGCAGACTAACCACCATAATTGTGCTTTACATGGCAACACTTTTCAAAGTATTTTCCCATATAACATTTCATTTAATCCCCACTATAACCTTAGAAGGCAAAGCAGGCATCAGCCAGAATTCAGTGCAAAAAAAGTCAAGGTGGTGGTGGTTGTTATTGTTGCTGACAGATACTCATACTAAAGCCAGAAATGTAGATGAGAAAGGTGGTAGGCAATGAAGTTGCCTCCTCTTTGCTTTTGTTCTGGCCAAACTTCCTCTGTAGACTCCTATAGGGATGCCTTGGCAGAGTCCCTGAAAAGGGTTTTGGTAGGCACAGGATCACCATCAGGGATTAAACATGAGTAATAAACAGTTTTCTACCTTTAAACCAGATAGTTTTGAGGGGACTTTGAACTTGGAATCAGTGCCAGTCAAAAGAATGAGTGTAATCTTAGCCTAGGGCTCACTGATTGGATTGATTGGATTTTGTTTGTCCCCCTATGGTAGCTGATAGAGCCATAAACCAGCCTTTGTTAAGAAGAGGCTTTCTAGTCATTGCGTCTTAGCAGAAAGAAATCAAGAAGGCTAGCAAATTATGCTACAGTGATGAAGTCTATAAACTGGTAGCAACAAGAAGCCCAGAGACGATATTGAAGCAATCATGAGACCAGCAGAAACATACCCAGCAAAGACCATTGTCCAACGGAGAATAGAGATGTCATAGAACAGAGAGCAGCAAATCTGTAGCATTAGAGGGGCAAATTTCTTGGTCATATGTATTTCCTATGTGTATTCCTTCCCCCAACAGTAATCTTAAGACTCATAAGAGAATAAATTTCACCTGGGGGGGGGAGAAGGTGGAGGGGGAAGAAGGGTAGACTTTTTCTCAACTAGAGGTCCATGGGCTCTGGTTTTGACTAGATAGGGACCCACAAAGTGCTTTGTACCTGGGGTAAGTTTTCTAGGACCCACAAGCTAGAGGGGACACCCAAGGTGCTTCATTCCCATTTTATTAAAGAGAGTCAGACAGAATGAATTATTTCCTCAAACAAAAAGGAAGAGTCAGAATCCAGCTCTTCTGACTTCTAGGTCAATACTCTTTCCTCTATTCTGCTTGTATCTCTTAGACAGTTCATCAGTTTCTGCTTCCAGGAGGCAAGATGGCAGAGTAAAAAGGTAGTCGCTCTCACTATCCCCTATCAACCTCTGAAAACCCGGAAAATATCACCCTAGAAAAAAAAAATCCTGGAACAGCTGAACTAGAAGAAAGACAGGGAACAGCAGTGCAGCAGCCCAGCAAACCAGTCTCCCAGTGCCTCAGCAAAAATAAGAGAAGCAGCACTACAAAGGGCCCCAGGCGGATAAGTACCCTGCAGCATTCATCTGAAAAGAGCTGAAGAAAGCAACCTAAAGACTGAGCCTTGCTGATTCCAGCCTAACACCAGGTAAGCTCTCAGAACCTCCAACTGTCAACCAGGAAGAGATCCTGAAGCCCAGGTGGTAGAGCAGGCAAACACCAACACCTGGACCTCCAAGTGCCCTCAGTGACGGCTGGGGGAACCAGTGGAAACCAGCTCAGAAAACCACCAGGTGCCTAGGCACTCTACAGCAAAGGAATCTCCCAGTGCATTAGCAGAAAGGAGGGAGACAACACTGCAGGGGGCCCCAGGCAGATAAACACCCTGCAGCACCCATCTAAAAGGAGCTGAAGAAAGCTAAAGGAAAGGAAAAACAGGCAACCTAGAATTGTCTGAAAGTTTCAGCCTTGCCGATTCCTGCCCAACAAGAGGTTGCCAGAACCCTACAGACTCCCATTGCCAACATTGGAGGCCCCAGCACACAAAGCCAGTGACAAAGACCTAGGCTCCCAACACAAGAAGCTTGGGGCAGTGCCCTCTGTTCCCCAGCAGGAGAGCTCAATCTCTTTAAAGGCCAGGGAATAAAGAAACACCATGAGTAAAAACAAATGTACCATAGATTCATGTTATGAGAAGAGTGAAGATCGAGACAGAAATTCTGAAGAGGACAACATTGTCAACAAACCCACATCTGCAACGTCAAAAGGGAATATGAACTGGTCTGAAGCCCAACAAGCCTTCTTAGAAGAGCTCAAGAAGGATTTTAATAGTCAAATGAGAGAGGTAGAAGAGTCCTTAAAAAATACAATTGACCAATTGGAAAAAAAGTACACTGAAGAAAACAAGTCCCTAAAAAACACAATTGACCAATTGAAGAAGAAAGGACAAAAACTAACAGAAGAGTACACTGAAGAAAACAAGTCCCAAAAAAACACAATTGGCCAATTGAAGAAGGAAGTACAAAAACTAACAGAAGAAAACAATCTGTTAAAAACTAGAATTGGACAAATGGAAACTAATGTCTCTATGAGAGAGCAAGAATCAAACAGAAACAAAAAAAATGAAAAAATAGACACAAAAACGAAAAATACCTCATTGGTAAAACAACCAACCTGGAAAATCGATTCAGGAGAGACAATCTTAGACAGTTCATGCCCAGTCTTTAAGATCCAACAAGGTACTATGGGAGATTAAAAGAGAGAAGCCTCTAACAGGGCCTCAGAAGAAGAGTCCTTGGAGGTAGATGGTTCTGTGGAAAGGTAACTGGATCAGAAATCAAGAGAACTGGGTTCTTGGTCCACCTTTGCCATAGACTTGCTTTATGACTTTAGGGAAATACTTTTTCCCTCTCAGAGCCTCAATTCCCTCATCTGTAAAGTGAGATATGAAATTGTATGATCTCTAAAGTTTCCTCTGCTTGGAAAGGGTGAAGAGAAGCAACCTGTATTTTGTAGGGTTAGAATTTTGAGACCAAGAAGCCTGGGAACCTCCTATAACTCCAAGAGCAGGAATTTAGGGTGCAGTGATATTGAGGTATCAGGGACAGAGATCCTATTGAGCTCTTCCAAGATCCATGAGAATCAATAGGAGTCCTGGGGTTCAGCTCTGGATATTCCACTGAAACTTCAGCAAATCATTTTCTGTCTCCCCTTGGGATGAGTCGCATCAGGACTTCCCAGGAGAATTCACACTTAGGGGTCACAGTGTGGTTCAAGGGGCCCAAGGCTAGGTAGAGAGCTGAGCCCAGTACTGTTTAGCCCTGGGTAGAGGTAGGGCCTAAGCCTGATGCTGGACAGGGTGGGGAGCTAAAGCATTTGTACACACTTCAAAGTCCCCACAGAAT